CCGCTCAGCTATAAAAATGAATGAAAATTGCCATTTGTAACAACATGGATGGACCTTGAGAGAATTATATTAAGTGAAACAAGTCAGGCACAGAAAGAGAAATACCACATGTTCTCACTTATTGGTGGGAGCTAAAAATACATAAATAAGTTCACACACACACAAAAAAAAAACGGGGGGGGGGAAGAAGACATAACAACTACAATTCCTTGAAGTTGATACGACAAGCAAACAGAAAGGACATTGTTGGGTGGAAGAGAGGAGAAGGAGGAAGGAGCGAGGTTTCAGTAATGGGCCACAAAAATCAACCACATTGTGTATTGACAAAATAAAATTTTAAAAAATTAAAAAAAAAAAAAAGTGACACAGGAACCTACAACCCCGCCCCCCAAAAAAAAAAAAATTTCTGGAGAGAGAAAGCACTTTTAAATTTAAATTTAGAAAGAAAAAGAGCAGATCATATCCAAATTCTTTATTCAACCAAACTATCAATCAAGTATTAGAACAGAATAAAATCATTTTAACATGGAAAGTCCCCCAAATTTTATCTCCTATGCTCCTTTTATGGAGAGGTACCCAGAGAAGTGCTCCAGCAAAACCAGAAAAAAAATACATACTGTTCAAAGTATGAGGATACTTCAAAAAATTCACAGAAAAATAGAATTAAAAGATAATACAAATCTTTCCATGAACTTTTTGAAGGACCCTTGTATAGGCAACCCAAGATAGGAAAGATGCAAAAGGCATTCTCAAGATATCAACTATATAGTTCATGTTGGAGCAGAAAGATGGAGGACTTTTAATAAAAAGGGAAAATTAAAAAAATCTCTTTGACAGGTATTGTCTCAAATACATGCATATTCTCACTCCATGACCTCTATTTTCATCTCCAGGGATTTGCCTTGGTAGAAATGAGAGGTATTCAGTGTCACACTTAGAGGTTTGAGGGGGCAGGGGATATTAGAAGAAAAAAAATCTACCAGCTGTTAAACAGATGAGTCTTTTTATTGTGTTTTCTGCCTATTTGCTCTTGTCATGAATTCTTAGTCTTCCCTGAAGTGGAAAGATCCTTTAAATTCCTAATCCTAAAATGACAGTAAATCTTTCAAATAATATATTCTTGTCATATTTAGTTTCATGAGGTATTATGGTTCTTGTCAATTTACTGTACTTCTTTCTAACTTATAACCATAGAAAGATTTAACTCTACTATCTTTATGACATTTATTATTTACATAGAGAAAATGATTTGGCAAAATGCCATCACAAAAATAGTTTTACCTGCATGAAGTCAATCTGCATACAAGTGTCAGGCAATTTTGGTGTCAAATAACAAGTGTCTGTCATGAAGTTTTCATATTCAGTGCTATCTGGAAATTGACTGCATCCTAGCTGTGATCTGTGTCTTCTGATCATTACACCACTAGTAGCTGATCCTTTCACTTGATGCCCCTGAAACTCAACAGGCTACAGGTAAATTATTAAAAATGAGAACTGTATAAATATATAAATATATATTGACATATATAGTAACAATGTATATACATAGAAAATAATATATAATTCAGCTTTTTATTAAATATTACTTAATATAAATAATAACTAGGAATCTAATATCAGCATATAACCAGGAAATATTTCTATTATCCTAAAACATATGCTAAGAGTAACTAATTTAAAGTGCATCGGTTTAACTGCAATCAAGTTCAACATTAATAAGCATTTTTTTTATTACAAGTATAAGATGAGTATAATATTAATGGCTAATTATCCCAAAAAGACTTAATTGCTCCTTTCTCTATGCCTCCACTGTACATTACACAACTATACATTGAAGGAAATGGTTAATGGACTTCTGTGGTCAGCACCCAAGGACGTGTTCACTTCGTGAACTTGCATACAAGTAAACAACCAAGAAATGTCAAGGATTGCAAACAATCCTTGAGAACATTTGAAGTTGTGAGAACACTTTCTTGGGATGTTCCCAGGAGGCGCATTATAGATAACCAAGTGCTTGAGAGGGAGGTAACAGCCTTCTGCTCTTGAGAAAAGTATAACAGAATTTATGCATTACGCTTATCTCGCATGCACAAGCTTGCTAAATGTAATAAAAGCTGTAACAGCGGCTGGGTCGGCGCTACTCGCCTGAGAGAGCAGTGGCCCCCCGCTCTTCACCTGCATCTCGTCTGCTGTGTCTTCCTTCGAGTCTTCGATCATTTTATTTATTTATTTATTTATTTATTTATTTTTTTTTGTCTTTTGTCTTTTTTCTGTGTCCGGCAACGGATCGCAACCCTCAGTGTTGCCCCCGTACCGGACCGGGGACCGGCAACGGGATCGCAAACCTCGGTGTTGCTCCCGCGCCTCGCTCAGCCAGTGAGCGGGAACCAGTCTGTATGTGGGATCCGAACCCTCACCCTCGGACGGGAGCGCCGCCGCGCTTCCCAAGCGGCGCACTATCCAGTGCGCCACCGGGCCGGCCCAAGTCTTCGATCATTTTAATCAACAATACATTTATACAACAAAATACATTATAGACTTACCACTTCATACTACTATAAAGTTTCTTCTTATCTGTATGCTAACTGTACTGTAAGGCCCTTAAGGACGGAGACCTTTTTGTTTCATCTAGGTATCATCTACATTTAACACAGTGCTTGGCATACAGAAAACAATCAATAAACATACAATATAAGGGGAAGAGATAATAGAAATAATAGAAGATAATAGAAAACACAGAAAGCATTTTCCTTTGCTTGTTTTGTAGACTATCAGACTTAACTGCAAGGTGGATGGTAGGCTGTGTCTCCCAGTAGAACATCTGATATCCCACCACTCTGAGAGCAAAGGCCTAAGAGCATGATTCCAATGCAGACATATACCTCAGAGAGGTTCTTTCATCCTCTCAGGAAATAACCTGTTTTCAGGCTTTAAATGGCTTTCTCTGCTGCCCCCTTGAGAGTTCTAGGATTTTTACTCCACACAAGGTAACAAAGCCTACCCAGAATGTGGAAAAATGAGAGGACTAATAGAGCCAAAGGAATGTACATAAAGGATCATTTATTTCTAACTGATGAATTAACAAAATGACAATAATATACGTCAATATACTCTTATTCAAAAATGAAGATTCTCAGGCCGGCCCGGTGGCACACTGCTACAGTGCGCCACTTGGGAGTGCGGCGGCGCTCCCGCCGAGGGTTCGGATCCCACATACAGACCGGCCGCTCACTGGCTGAGTGAGGTGCGGGCGCAACACCGAGGGTTGCGATCCCACTGCCGGTCCCGGTCCGGGCGCGACACTGAGGGTTGCGATCCGTTGCCGGACATGAAAAAAAAATGAAGATTCTAAATCACACATTTGAAAGATTTGAAAGGAAAATCAAATCTAAATGTGCCTTTATAGAGAACTTTTGTTGAAAATATTCTTCTGAATTTAAAAAATATACATTTCAACAAAAACAAGTCTCAGCTGTTAAAGATGCTGTATATTTCTGCTTTGTTTAATAAAGAATATATAGTCCCCACAAGAAAATAGGTGCCTTGTCTTCTACACTGCTATGTAGATCTCTTCCAGATGTGTGCTGGGTTTTAGGAATAGAAATCACTATTTACAAAACCCAACCATTTATATGCTGTCGTTTCTGTTAATTTTTGATGTGGAGTAGGTGGCACTACTTAGAGCTTGGATTATACATACTTCCATATATTCAGTCAGAAGTAGAAGTGGTAGAGTAGACTATAATGAGTTAAAGACTATAAAGATATTCATGTTCTTCACAGAGCATTCACTAATTGTACTCTTCATGGCTTTGTGTCCAACGTCTAGTGTACGCTATGTTTGTATTCATACTGCATGCGCTGCATTATTAGCTCATTAGTAGTACAGAGAAGATTCAAGACCAAAAAAAAGAAGGGGTAGGAGTCATTGAATAGTTTCCCTTATTCTTAAAACCAGGCTAATTTATTATGCTCCTAACTCTCTGCCTGTGAAAACTATGATACTTGTGTAAAAAACAGCAGGAAAATACAGTAGGTTAGAAAATTAATGTTCTTCACAAATTTTACCTTATGGTCACAGGTTTTTCTGTCTATTTGTTTAGGAATAACAGCTAGAAAAGCAGTCTCTTCGTCACTTCCCAAGGAAGGGAAGTAGAATAAAATATCAATAAGTTACCTAGTTATCTATTTAGTTGACTAGAATAGTTTTGCAGGTGGTTAAGTTTGATGGAAAATATTTGAAGAACTTAAAAGCAAGTTTGTCCTTTGAAAATACACTTGCCATCTCCGTCTTGCTTCTCTCTACACATACATATAAGAAGGCTTCCCCGGTACAGGAGTGCTCTAGCTGATAAGATAAAACACTAATTAATTTAAAAACTCAGCATATTAGAAAATTCTGATTCTAAATTTTAAATTGAATCTTTTAAACACTAGAAAACATAATAAATCACCCATCAAACCTAATACTATGTTAATGTGGATCATTTAATTCAAATATTAGTATAAAATTAAAAAAGGAAAAATTGTACACAGTATAAGAGTATTTAAAGAATCGAATCATTTTCTAGCGACTGTGAAACACATGACATTGACAACAGCAACTAGTCATTTTTGGCTCATCAAGTAATATATAAAATAACCATAATTTTTAATATGAATTGGATAGATTTAGAAAGTAAATTCAACTCTAGAAGCAATTTTTTCTTATATTTATGAAAGAAAATCTTTTCTCGATAGACAGAAAAAGTGTATTTCTTCAAATAATTGCCACTTTCTTTTAATAACACTCTATTGCAAGTGACACAACTGCCAACCAAGTTGTTCTTGAAAATGTTCAACTCATATTTTAGAAATGGAATTTTCTGGGCCGGCCCGGTGGCGCACTGGATAGTGCGCCGCTTGGGAAGCGCGGCGGCGCTCCCGCCCAAGGGTTCGGATCCCACATACGGACCGGTTCCCGCTCACTGGCTGAGCGAGGCAGGGTTGCGATCCCGTTGCCGGTCCCCGGTCCGGTACGGGGGCAACACTGAGGGTTGCAATCCATTGCCGGACACGGAAAAAGACAAAAAGACCAAAAAAAAAAAAAAAAAAAAAGAAATGGAATTTTCTAACATAGTGAGTTTAAAAGTTAATTAGCGTACTACCTTCTCTGCTAGAACACATCCTTTGCTTTGTGTAGCTAATTATACTTACAGAAATAAGGCAGAGGTGGCATTAAGTGTATCTTCAAGTAGCACCCTAACTTTAAGGTTTCAATATTCCTTCTATCACCAAGGTATATGAAGACGCTGTTTCAGAGAATTGTAGTAAGAACGAACCTATTACAAAAATACAAATGTACTCCTACTGTAATGCTAAAAACAGATTTAAATAATTTTTATTGCAAAAGGTTATAAGACCTCTTTCATTACTGAGGAATTACAACAGATTTTTTAAAATGTGTGACATTCATTTGAAATGACAACTCATTCTGGTGGAAAAAAATATTTTTTCAAGTGAAAAAAAAGAATGTGGTTATTTGTAAGCTAAATTATGCATCTTCTAGTGGTTTATGATTTTTGCATTTGATCTTGTTATATACAAGGGTGAAAATGGTAAGTCACCACAACACAGTTGTTTTTATTTTATTTTGTACTGTTTTAAACAATAGAGCTGCATGGACAATTGTCAATGACAATTCATGAGTTTGGTAATGCTTGCAAATTTGTAAATTAGCTTTATGATAATGGATTTGTTATTTAACCAAATCATACAGATCATACAGGACATTTATACAAAGACAGCAGGCTCATCTAAACAAGGAGTAATTACAAATGACAATATATAATACAAATTTAAAATTATATGCCATACCTATATATACAAATATAATTTCTGGCTACTTTGCATTTTAAAAGATAACTTACCTGCAAAGACTGAAGTGGTTCACTTGGTTCAACATCATTTTCTTTGAGTATCTTAGGAATAGAACATTAATGTAAGATAAACAAAAAGGCAATAGTAATTTAAAAAATAAAAATATAAATTTGTATTAGACATAAGAAATACAGGAACACTATCACTAATAAGATATTAAAAACTAAAATACTGACAAAATCATATTTTTACTTAGCAAGAATTTAAAAAGCTCTTAACAGTATTGGTAAAAATGAAGTGAAATATTCTAATTGTAAAACACTAAGATTTTTAGCTTCAACAATAACATGAAACTAAGAAAGTTGTTCCTAGCCTTCCAAGTAATTAGTTCCATTTCTGAAAATCAAACCTAAGGAAAGAAATTAAAATGCAAATAATAACTTATGTACAAAAACATTTACTAAAGTGTTATTTATAGTAGCAAAATACTGGAAATGATCTAAATGTCCCAAATAGGGAACTGTTTGTCCAAAGCATAGGATAGAATGGTAAGTAAACTTTAAAAGGTATATTTAACAAGAGTTTTTGATAATGTGAGACAACACAATACGATATCAAGGGGAAAGGATATAAAATTATTAATACACATCAATCTAACCACATTTTTTTAAAAAGGCACCAAAAAAGTTGGAAACAATAATAATTGTCTCTGGGGCCGGCCCGGTGGCGCACTGGATAAGTGCGCCGCTTGGGAAGCGTGGCGGCGCTCCCGCCCGAGGGTTCGGATCCCACATACAGGCCGGTTCCCGCTCACTGGCTGAGCGAGGCGCGGGGGCAGCGCCGAGGGTTGCGATCCCATTGCCGGTCCCCGGTCCGGTACGGGGGCAACACTGAGGGTTGCGATCCGTTGCCGGACACGGAAAAAGACAAAAGACAAAAAATAAATAAATAAATAAAAATA